GCTGTGACAACCTTGGTCCCTGTTCCCAGCGCTTCCTCCAAGACCCCTACTCCACCACCTTCAGCAGCTTCTCCCGAGTGACCAACTTCTTCCGGGGAGCCCTGCAGCCACACCTCGAGGGCGCTTCTTCCCCTGATCTTCGTCCCCCACCCGATGATGAGCCTGGCTTTGAGGTCATCTCCTGTGTGAGTCTCTAGTGGACTCTCCTGATGACTTCTGGCTGTGTCCTCCGGGCAGGGAACCTCATTTCCCTGGGCTTCTGCTTCTTGGTAATGTGGGGACAGCAGTAGCACTGCCCTTCCAGGGTCACATCAGGAGTAGCTTGGGACAGGCTTACGAGGTCGCACAGGCACTGTGTGCACCTGGCTGCTATTCCCAAGGACTGTCCTGACTGGGGAGCAGGGTGTCACTGCTGCTTCCAGCTCCTGGGCATCAATGATCCCTGTCTAATTTGGGGTCACACCCAGTGAGTTTGGGTTCACCTGCCCTGTGTCCACAGGTGGAGCTCGGACCGAGGCCGGTCGTGGAACGGGCCCCTCCGGTCACAGAGGAGGAGTGGGCCAGGCACGTGGGCCCTGAGGGCCGCCTGCAGCAAGTCCCCGAGTTGAAGAAGCGGATCTTCTCAGGGGTGAGGGCCAGCAGGGGAGGGGCAGGGGCAGGAGCAGGGTTGGGCTGGGCTGGTGGGCATCTGGGAGGCTCGCTGAGCCGTCTGACCTGTTCCACCCCAGGGTCTGAGCCCTGGCCTGCGGCGTGAGGCCTGGAAGTTCCTCCTGGGCTACCTCAGCTGGGAGGGCTCAGCTGAGGAGCACAAGGCCCACATGCGTAAGAAAACGTGAGTGGGAAAATGTGGGCCCTGCATTCCCCGCATGCTCCATCCTGTGAAACCTGTTCCTTTGACTCCCTCAGGGCCCCTCAGAGTGAGCATGTGTCTGACCCCTGGCTGCAGGACCCAGCTGTACCCTGTCTCTGATGTGCTTTGTCCAGCAGGGGTAATGGGTTCTCACTAGAAACCCACACGAGCTGAGCATAGTGGTACATGCTTGTAATCCCAGCACTGGGGAGGCTGAGGCAGGAGGATTGCTGAGAGTTTGAAGCCAGCGTGAACTAAATAGTGTAACCCTGTCTCAAAAAAAAACTAAACAACAAAAAAAACCAAAAACCTATAAAAGCCCATGTGGTTGTTGGGTGGGGTGGGTGTCAGCAGTGGGTAGTCGAAGGGGTGGGAACAAGATGGTCACCGCAGCTGGTAGTCACTGGCTTGCATTGTGTGGTCAGGGTAAAGTCCTGGGGAGAGACAAGGGTGAGGGAGTGTGCTGGTCGGGAATTGCTCTCCCGTACTTCCTGTCCTCTTCTGCCCCACAGGGACGAGTATTTCCGCATGAAGCTGCAGTGGAAGTCCGTGAGCCCCGAGCAGGAGCGGAGGAACTCCCTCCTGCACGGATACCGCAGCCTCATTGGTGGGTGTCGGGTGGGGTGAGCAGAGGCAGGGACAGCTGATGGACAGGCCAGGGATGAGGAAGGGTTGTGGGGTCAAGTGGCAGCGCTTGCAAAGACAATTTGGTAATTATGTCTTCCTGTTCCTCAGTTTCCCCACATTTAAAAGCGGGGAGGAAACCTGAGGCCTTATAGCATAAGGCTGGCGATGCCATGGAGCTCAGGGTTGGTGCTGGGTTGGTGCTGGTGACCAGCAGTGCCCGTTGCCTTTCTTATTCCACACCCCCCGCCCCCCGCTCCCCCTGCAGAGAGAGATGTGAGCCGCACTGACCGGACCAACAAGTTCTATGAGGGCCCAGAGAACCCGGGGCTGGGCCTGCTGAACGACATCCTCCTCACCTACTGCATGTTCCACTTCGACCTCGGTGCAGCGATGGGCAGGGAGGGCCGGGCTGCATGGGGCCCCTCAAAGTGCTGACGCCCTGAACGGCACTGACCATGTATCTTCCCCACTCCAGGCTATGTCCAGGGTATGAGTGACCTTCTCTCTCCGATCCTCTACGTCATTCAGAACGAGGTGGATGCCTTCTGGTGTTTCTGCGGCTTCATGGAGCTTGTGGTGAGGCGCAGGGTGAGGCAGGGATGGGGTCCTTGTGGAATCAGGGCTCCAGGCTCCTCACAGGAACCTCCCTTGCACCCTGCAGCAGGGAAACTTTGAGGAGAGCCAGGAGACCATGAAGCGGCAGCTGGGGCAGCTCCTGCTGCTGCTGAAGGTGCTGGACCAGCCACTGTGCGACTTCCTGGGTATGTCCCAAGGGTCCATGAGTGGGGGACAACAGAACCTCAGAGGGTGCCAAGGCTCCCCTAGTGATAGCTGCCAGGGTGTCTAGAACACTGGGTTCTGATCCAGGCCTGAAAAACATCCCATGTGAGCTAAAACCTGACTGGAAGTATAAAACTGAGGGGCAGTTTAGGCCCGCCTTGGCACAGACAGGTGTCCTGATGCTGTGACCTGCTGTGCGCCTGGCCAGCTGCCCCTCCTTACCCCCATCCCAAGGTGGCTTGGACTCAGACTTAATCTGCTGGCTAACTTTCCAGAAATAAGGACGTGGATGTGGCTCCACTGAGTCTGTTCTGACCTTGCACCAAGATGGAAATTGGTTCCCTAAGCCAGGCATGTTGGTGCCTGCCTATAATCCCAACTTTGGGAAGCTGAGGCAGGAGGGTCACAAGTTTAGGCTAGCCTGGGCAGTTTGCCTCAGTGAGAGACCCTGTCTCACCAAAAAAATTTTTTATAAAGGGAAGGCTGGAGTTATAGCTCAGTGTTAAAGGTCCTAGGTTCAACCCCCAGTACCACACACAGAAGAAAAAACTGGTTCTCTGGCCCTGGGGATGCTGTATTCCAGCTGTACACTCTCCTTTATGACTTTTCCATGTAAAAAAAAGAAGAAATTTAGATTTAGAAAACAGAGATGCTGATCAGGTGTGGTGATGCACACCCGAAATCCCAGCACTTAGGAAGCTGAGGCAGGAGGAACGCTGTGAGTTCAAGGCCATCTTGAGTTTTCAGGCCAGGCTGAACTACAAAAGGAGACCCTGCCTCAAAAACACAAAGCAGAAAGGAAGTAAAAGGCATTGAGGAGAAAGCCACTTATTTATGAGGAAGCTCTAGGACTGCACTGGGGAGGGAGACGCAAGTACCTGGCCACCCCTCACCTCAAAGAAAAGCAGCTGAGCCATAGAAAAGCCCAGGCCACTTCCTGGGATACTGGATGGAGCTGCCTGTGTGTTATTAAGTGTCCTGGAGGGCGCACTCAATCTGACCTGCGGCATGCACAGGCCACCTTTTCATCATGATGAGTGTTTCAAGGATTTTCAGAGGGGACCGTGTCCAGGGAAGCACTCTTTGACACAGCCTTTGAATTCTTTGAAGTCATCTCAGCAGCTGACATTTGTGCCAGCAGTGTACCCAGGGGTTCTGTGTTCTCGATCCCTGCCAGCACTGGGGGCTGGGACTTCCGTGTCCCAGGGTGTAGCCCTGCATCCCTGGGCATCCAAGCAGGAGGTGGGGAGGTTGCACACTTCCAGTGGAGTGTGGCAGGCAGGGTGGGAGATGGTACCCTGCCACCATGGAAGCTCCCACCCTGGACTCCTGGGCTGCCTACACCAGGCTGGTCACTTCTCAGAAGCTGAGGATCCAGGGTACCCTGCTGTAAGCCCCAGCACTGAACTGCCCGCTGTTTCTCCCAGACTCCCAGGACTCCGGTTCGCTCAGCTTCTGCTTCCGGTGGCTGCTCATCTGGTTCAAGAGGGAATTCCCCTTCACAGACATCCTGCGCCTGTGGGAGGTGGGAAAAGGGGGCTGGCTGAATGGGGGAAGTGGGAGGGGCTGGGGGACAATGGGCAGAGATTCCTTCCCGTCCCCAGGTGCTGTGGACTGGGCTTCCTGGACCTAATTTGCACCTGCTGGTGGCCTGTGCTATCCTGGACATGGAGCGGGATACCCTCATGCTGTCAGGCTTCGGCTCCAATGAGATCCTTAAGGTGAGCTCCTCTCTGCCCCCATGCTGTCTGTGGCAGTGGGCGCTGCCTACGGGTGGCTGCTGCTTGAGATACAGGACTCCTTGAGCACTGCCGGGGTGGGACTGGCAGTCTGCTGTTCTGTACATGGCTATGCCCTCCTGTTCCTGCCGCAGCACATCAATGAGCTGACCATGAAGCTAAGCGTGGAGGATGTGCTGACCCGCGCTGAGGTGCTGTACCGGCAGCTCACCGCCTGCCCTGTGAGTCCAGCCTCTCTCCCCACAGCCTCGCCCTGACAGATGCTCTCCTGCCTGGGGTGTCTAACCTGGCCCTTACCTGTCCCCCAGGAGCTACCTCACAACGTGCAGGAAGTGCTAGGCCTGGCACTGCCCGCAGAGCCCCGCAGCCCCTCGCCTCCAGGCTCTCCACTGCCGCTGTCACCCACACATGCCCCTCCGGCACCACCGCCTGCTGCAGATGTGGCCCCACAGCCGGATAGCAGCCTGGAGATCCTGCCTGAGGAAGAAGACGGCGGGGACTCCTAGCCTGCCCCAGCGGCCTGGCACCAGCACTTTAATGGCCCTGCACTCCCGAGGAGGAGCTGGCTTCTGGAAACTGACATGTCTCCATCTGCAGTGACCTTAACCGTGGGTGACAAGGCCCATGTGGGAGGAGGGGGTGCCCAGATTCCCTTCTGATACAGGCCTAACCGCATGGCCCTTTATTGGCCAATGAGGAATAAGAGGAGGTTCCCATGAGAGTGTGATGGGGTGCTGGGGACGCCACTGCCACTGGCAGCTGCAGGGCCTGCCCACCAGCGAGCTGCGACCTTTGTGAGGAATAAACTGGTTCAGCTCGCCAGCTGTGGGGTTTCTGTCCCTGCGCATGTGGTGGCAGGGGTGGCCGCTCTACGCCCTGCCTCCTGTGCCCGCCCACGCGGCCCCTGTCCTGGAAGAAGTTTGGGTCCCCTCGGGAACAGCGCTGGCAGCTCCGGTCCCCACAGACTGGAAGCAACATCCAGAGAGGTGGCTGGGCCACGCAGCTTTTCCTGAAAATACTTTAATGCAGGATCTCCCAGCGGGCGGGGGCGGGGGCTGCGGCACGCAGCTCTGCCAGGGCGGCCTCCAGGGTTGCCTGCCCCTGGTCGCTGTTGATCTGCAGGGCAGCCCTCAGCGCGGACTTGACGGCCGTCTCCACCCAGCCGTGCGGGTAGGCCGTGTGCTCGCCGGCAAAGAAGATGCGGCCATAAGGTGCCGCCCAGTTGTAGGGCTTCTCGGAGTCCTCCGTCTCCCTGAGCACAGGAGGCTGCACCACGAAGCCACCCTGGCTGTACGGGTCCTCAGCCCAGCGCTTGATCACGCCAGTCTTGTCCCACAACCGATACACGAACTGCCCATGCAGCGCCGCCACGTCGTCGAGCGCCAGGCGCAGCGCGTCCTCGGTGCTCAGACCCGCGAAGGGGGTGGCGGCGTCCGACCACGTGTAGGAGGCCAGCAGCAGCGCACCCTCGCCTGGTGGCGGGTAGAAGATGGTGCGCGCCAGGCGGTCGGTGTTTGAGTGGCCGCCCTCGATGTGCTCATCGTGCCAGAAGGGCCGGCGGAAGCTCAGGAACACTTTGGTGGCCGGCACATAGTGCAGGCTGCGCAACGCCTCCTGTCGTTTGCGCGTCAGCGGCGGTGAGAAGGTCATGCGCTGCAGCGCGGGCCCGCTGGCCGTAAGCAGCACCATGTCCGCGGTCAGCGACTTCAGGCTTTGCGACCGGTGGGAGGAAGCGATGTGCACGCGCACGTCCTTGGTGCCCTGGGTCAGTGCCACCACTTGAGCGTCCAGCACCAGGGGCCCGGACAGCGAGCTAAGCAAGGCACGGGGCAGCAGGTCCCAGCCTCCCACGATGCGGCTATACCTGCGGGGTGGGGGGGCAAGTGTGATCCGTGTCCCCTGCCCTTGCCCATCAGAGTCCTCTGAACCAGAGGTGCCCCCAAGGCCACGCCCTCCCCGGAACCACCCCACCCCCACCCCGCTTGCCGCCCCTCACCGGAGCCGGTCGCTGAGGCAGCTGTGAGCACGCAGGGCCTCCTGGAAGCTGAGATAGAAGAAGCCGTCCTTGGCCATCACGTCTCCCAGCAGCTGCACGGCTGGCCGGCTGAGGTTGCCTTCTCCAAGCAGGTATTCCTGCGGGGTGGGCACTGCCCCATCAGGGCCCAGCAGGCTGCAAACTGCGCTCCGCCCTCATTCCCACGGGGACTCTCCCCAGCTCCGCGTTCCATGCCATGAACCTCAGCGATTCGCTCCTGCCTCTCGTGACCCCAAGGGGAAACGGGTCCAGAGAGGATGGCCCCGCGTCCACCCCTGCCTGCGGGGAAGGAGAGGAGTGGTGGGCCAGCTCCCAACTCCTCTAGGGGACAGTGTTAGGCAGAGGTAGGTGCCACTCACCAGGAGTGTGTGCCTTTCAAATTTCCGCATCGCCTTTTTGCAGCCCAGGGCCTTGACATCTTTCAGGGCCTGTTGTGGACCAAACAGATGGGGCTGGGTTGCTGGATGCCGAAGCCGGGGCGCCCTTTCAGCTTCCCCTCAGGCCTTAGCCCACGCTATCTGTGTCCTCAGCTTTGCCCTCTGCTGCAGCTCACATGTCACATTTGGGACATTTTCTCAAAGGAACTGCCTCCCCTCATCTCAGCGCACCCTGCTACCATGTTCATCTTGCTCCGTGTGTGTGTGTGTGTTAGGCTGGTCAGGAACTTGCAGCAACCCTCATGCCTCAGCTTCCCGAGTGCTGGGAATTCTTCATTCCTAATTCCGTGGTGGCCTGTGAGCTCTGGATCTGTCTCCATCATGCTGTGTCCCTCTTGGGTTTGGTAGTTATTGTTTGGCTCATTATGGACATAGACACAAGCTGTGTCCCCTCTGCCCACAGCTCTTTGTGGCCTCCGGGCACCTGAGGCCAGAGATCCAGTCCCTCAGGGCAGTGCTGCAGGCCCTGCCAGTTCCTCGGTCACCCTGTCTCTCCAGCTCCAGCTTGCAGAACTACATCCACCTCTGCACCCGGGAGCCTCCTGCCTTGCCTTCACTGGCACAGGAATGACTCAGTCCTCAGCCTGGTCATGTTTCAGTCCAGCTCCCTCCTGTGAGGAGGCCTGGGATGGGGGACGGTGGGCTCCCTCACTGCCCAGCCCCTCAGCTTGGGTTTCCCTGGACCCCATTTGCTGTTGGACTCAGGAATCAGGGACTTGGAGAGTCCAGAAGGGGACACGGACCAGTAAGGGGGCCCAGCTTAGAATGGTGTGGCCAGCTCCCTCAGGTGTCTTGAGGGGCCCCAGGAGCAGGTTCTGGGCGAAGTGGCACCTTTCCTGACAGGGAAGGCAGGCACTCAGGCAGGGACCCGGTGAGGGATGATGGGTGGCATAGTGTGTTTCCAGGAGCACGTTGTGCTAAGCATGGTGTCGCACACCTGTAACCATAGCACTTGAAAGGCTGAGGCAGGCAGATTGCCAAGAGTTTGAGGCCTGCCTGAACTACATGGTGAGACCCTGTCTCAAAAAAGGCATAGGGTGTGTGGTCCACCAGGGAACTTTCAGGTAGTGGAAATCCCTCAGAGGAGAAAAGCAGCTGAGGTAGAGGGTGGAGGCAGGGAGACCCCCACTGGGCTGGCTTCTTAGCCTGCAGGGCCAGCACTGTCCCAGAGGCCCTGGGGAGCCACAGGGTCAGCTGTGTACCAGGGCCTGTGCAGCCACTAAGAGGCTGGGGTGAGAGTCCAAGGAACTGAGGAGGACTGGGCTGGATTTGGGCAGAGAGGAGGGAACTGGCCCCGGGTAAGGGGAGGAGTGTGGAGAGGAGGCTGTGAGGTGGCACCTGGGAATATGACTGGGTATGGGTGCTGGGTGCAGTGGAGCTGGGGGCTCTGGGTGTGGCTGGCTCTGGACTTGGGAAGCTTCAGGCAGCTGCACAGTTGGGGACAATGGTGTCAAAGGTGAGAGGACAGCAAGGGAAGCCAGCCACTGGCAGCTGGCAGGCCAGGGAGGCTGGAGCTGGCAGCCAGTGAAGGAGGGAGGCTGGGTAGTGGGCAGGGTCTCAGCAGGTCTGAGCTGATGGGCTCTGGTAGTGCCTACCCTGTTGAGAGCCATCTGGTAGATGTCTTCTGGGGAGTGGCCCCTCTCCTTGGGGCGCAGTTTGTAGCCCAGCTTTTCAGGTGTCTTCTTTACCACGTGGTTCCGCAGCTTCACACCGTTCACTTCTGTCCACGTGTTCTCGTCATACTGGGTGAATTTTGTCAGGTTGAGTCCCAGGCTCTTGCAGAGCGCGTGCAGGATCCTAAGGGTGTGGGGAGGCTGGGTGAGGGGTTGGGGGGCCTATCTCTCGTGGGCCTTGGAGAAGAGATGGGATGGGAATGGGACTGGAGCTAGATTTGAGCTCAGTGGTGCTGGGGACAGGAATGGGAGGAGACAAGGCCAGAAGGCTGAGGCAGGGCAGGACTGGGACTGGGGTAGGACCCCAGGGTTGGCTTTTCTTGGGGGTCAAGTGAGGGAGCCCAGAGCTGATGGAGGTGGGGTAGGGATGGGAAGCACCAGAGATGGAGGGAACGGGACAGTGGGGTTGAGCTGAGGCTGGGCCAGCTGGGCAGGAGCCTGGGTCCTGCGAAGGTAATCAGTGGTGGTGGGCTGGTGCTGGGTGACCCAGGACTGGGAGTAGGTGAAGGCGGAGTTGGGGGTCTAGCTTGGGGTCAGACCCTGGCATAGGGGCTGGGGTGTGGCTTAGCTTGGGCACTTGGCCAGCATATACTAGGCCCTCTGATCTTTAGCTCCATCCAAGAACCACCGAGAGATGCCACTGCCTAAAGTGGCGACAAGTTTGGGCATAGAGGTGGGGCTACGAGTGGTCAGGTCAGGCCTCACCTGTGTGAGCTGGGCATACGCATGGCCCCCAGCTCCCCAGACCAGCCAGTCTTGGGGTCCCGGAAGGTGAGGATGCGGCCCCCAATCCTGTTATCTGCCTCCAGGATGGTGACCTAAGGGGTGGGGGAAGCAGGGCCCTTCAGCCCCTCTTGCCCTTATCTCCCTCCATCGCTATGGCAGCACAGATCTAGACCAGAGGTCCCCTGTCCTTAGTAGTCAGGGGAGCGGCAGGGGGGTGCTGGGGGGAGAATAGAACGAGTGTTGGCAGACTAGCAGAAGGCTGCTGGCTGGACTGCAGAGGAGGGACTTTCCAGCTCAGGGAATGGGGGTGATTTCCCACGTGCAAAGCAGGTCATTCTCTTTCTTGGATTTAGTGGAGTGGTGCAGTGGTTGGACCTCAGGGGTCACTTCTCCTGGTGGGGTCACTTCCTTCACCACCACAAGGTCCCGTCCCGTCCCGTCCCCCCCCCCCCCCCCGTGCCGCAGTGGGACTTTCCTCTGGCTCGGGGCTCAAGGTGCAGACAAGGAGGGGCTCCAGCCTGCTGTAGAGGGCTCCAGGCAGACTGCACAGTGCTGCTCACCTTGTGTCCAGCGTCATTGAGCACCTTGGCAGCCACGAGCCCAGCCACACCAGCACCCACCACAATCACTTTTTGGGGCTGCAAGGTGCGGTTGAGGCCCAGGGTCACCACCTTGAGCAGCTGCTCGTAGTCTTGATCATGCATACATTTTTTGAAGGGGTCCTGGCCCAAGGCCGCATTCCAGGCCAGCGAGGCCACCAGGCTGCAGAGGATGGAGACCAAGACGAGCAGGCACAGTGCTGGCAATTAGGCATAGGGTCAGTACATAGGGCCACAATGCCAGGGTCCCATCCCCAAGCCCCGGCCCGCACACTCACCCAGCTGGGCCATGACTCAGGAGGGGCACGGAATCTGGGATGGAGAAGCGAGGGCACTGTGACCACGGCTGTGTCCCCCTGCCTGACTCTGAGCCCTGGACTGCTAGCTCAACCCTGGTACCACAGCCACCTTTCTGTCTCGGCACACATCCCATCCCGTCCTGTCCCGAGTCCCTGGACTGTCCTCCTCCCCACCTCCCTCCACACGCCCTGGCCTCATCTCCCCACTTGTGCCCACCTCTGCCACTTCTCACCACCTCCTGTCTCACTGTCCCCTCTTCTTCCTGCCTGTCAGTCAGGCCTGGGCTCTGCAGGTCCCCAGCTCCGTCCCACTGCCAGCCTCCGTGTAGCTCTCCTTCCACCTCCTGCACGCTTCTGTCCCTCTGCAGCCCTTCCCTCTCCTTAAATGGGGGCCCCGCCCTCCTCTCCCCCTATAAACTGGGCATGGGGGCGGCTGAAGTGCTTTCCTGGAGCCTCGAGGTCAGATGCTCAGAGGCCACAGCAGGCTGGGTGGGGGCAGATATAAAAGGGGTCACGAGGAAGTAACTTTTTCTATTTTCTTCCTCTTACCCCAAATAGTTTTAGAGTGGTTGGGAAGCCAGAAATAAATCTCAAATACTTAGGGTGGGGACTGCCTGTGGGCCTGTCCCATCCCTGCCATGAAGTCTGTTCCTGCCTACCCTGTACCCCCCCCACCTCCTGGACTCTTGGGGCTGGGGTGCTGAGGCCTCCTGTGTCAGTGGCTCCTCAGCCCTTCAAAGCCCTCATCTCTGCTCCATGTGGTGGGCAGCCGGCTGTGGTGTGGGTTAGGCCTCTGGCCTGGCACTTGCCAGCCAGGGACTGTGGGCTACCCAACCAGCCCCTCATGGTGGCTCCTGTCCACTTCAGGAGTTGGGGCCAGGGTGGAGAGGGAGGATGGAGTGAAGTTGGGTAAGGTCTATAGGCAAGTTCTGGGTCGGTAGTGCAGTGGGCTCAGCGCAGGGCAGGGCAGGGCAGGGGTGGGGTGGAATCAGAGAAAAGAGCCCGATGACATCTCCAAGGAACCTCACACTAGAGCCAGATCTGGCATCAGAGGTCTCAGTTTAGCCCAGAAGCCAGTGTGGGTGGAGAAGCAATGGGGGTGCTTCTGGGGGTACAGAGGGTTCTCTGGAGCTGTCTTCTTCCCATTGGGTGGGGGGCAATGCCCAGAAAAAGCAAACTGGGAAACTCCACAGTGCATCAAAGGGGATGTGGTTTGAGGAGGAGTGGGGTGCACAGGGATGAGTCAGAGGTACCATCTAGACATGGGGGGAGGGGGTGGCCAAAAAAGAGCAAAACCAGGAAGCTGGACTGAGCCTCAGACTGAGTGCTGAGGGAAAGAGCCAAAGACTGCAAATAGCTCCTGGGGAGTGGGGCGCAGGGAGCATTCCGGCCTCCTGTTGCTGCTTGGCTGCCCTGTGCTCAGGGCTTTTCGATCACTATGACCACCACTCACAGGGCCACATTTGATGGAGGAGGCACAGTGGGGAGGAGGACTCCAAGGCTCTGGGGTGAGGACTTGCCCTGGGTCCTTACTAGGTCCCTGGCTGGGATGTGCACCACCATGCCTGGTATTGTGGGCTCTTGAGGCTCGCTAGGGCAGCTTCAATGTCGCCAGGGTGGGTGAGTGGCCACTTGGTCTGGCTCCCTGTGCTGTTGAGCTCTGAAGAGCAGAGGGAAGGAGCAGGTTCCAGGGCAGCATGGCCAAGGTGGACTCCAGCACACAGGGCCTGGTCCCTGCTGCATTACTGGTAACATGATTTTACTGAGCTTTGTCATCCTGTTCAGAGGGGCAACGCTGAAGCCCAGGTGAGTCCCAGCTAGGGTGGCAGAGCCAGCGTTTAGGCGGCAACTGGTTCCAGGCCAGTGTTCCCAGCAGTGCTGCTCTTGGAGGAGCTCACCCTAGGAGGGGCTGCCCTATGCACTACAGGTGCCAGGTGGCATCCCTGCCAGTGCCCCCACCATGCAGGAGAACCTTAAACATCTCCAGGTACCACCAAAGTCTCTGAGGAAGTAGGGAAGTCACTCTCTCAGCAGTCTTGGGCTGGGGCCAAGTCACCATGGGGCACACAGCCAGGCCAGCCAGGGAAGAAATGCTAGCGGCTACACCGCAGAGAACCCTATGCAGGGTGTTTGTGGTTAGGTTAGGAAGGCTTTAGGGACTGTCTTTTCTTATTTCATGTGGTCTTCAGCATGTGTCACTTGCAGGTAAAGAGAAAATATTCTAAGCTGGACATGGTGGTGCATGCCTAGAGTCTTGGTACTGGAGAGGCTGAGGCAGGGGGATTGCCTGGGCTACATATTCAGTTAAAGGTCAGCTGGAACTACATAACAAGACTTTGTCTCAAAAAAACAAAAAAACAAAAAACCCAGCTGAGTGTGGCAGCGCACACCTAGCCCAGCATTCTGGGAGGTTGAGGACTGAAAGATTGAGCCCAGCCAGAGGAATTCAGTGACTCTTCCAGGGCTGAGGTTAGTGACAGCCCTCGGTGAAGGCCAAAAGTTCCAGCCCCAGTACCCAACATGACACAGAACACCACCACAAGACCCAGTGCTTCGGGGAAGCTGTCCCTCAGCCCCTCACTGACTCAGAGGTGAGGCTGAAGGGCGTTGGGCAGGCAGACGGGGCTGCACAGCCCTCGCTGGAAATGACAGGACTTTCCCGGGTGTGCTGGGGACAGTGCCAGGTGAGGTGAGGGTGAGACAAAGCGTATCTCAGGCCAGGAGACAGGACAGGACGCCCAGGGCGATGGCCAAGGGTGGAGGGCAGGGCCGGGGCTGAGGTGGTGGTGAGAAACCTGTTAGCTTCAGTTGGTTTTGGGAAATCCTAGTTTTATTGGGTTTCTAGAAATCAAGTTTAATCCTCATAGGCAGAAATGGTCTTTGGTGGGGAAAGCCAGCCCAACTATCCGAACTACAGTGACGGTTCTCGTGCGGGCTTAAGGTCACGCAGGCAGCAGCCTGAGCCCGGGCTGCCAGGCTCATCAGCCTGCGGAAGGCGGGCAGCGCGGCTGCGGAGCCACTGGGCTGGAAATTACAGTGAGGCGGGACCAGGACCAGCGCTGGTGACAGGGAACCTAGCTCCTCCCTAGGAAGTTCCTGAGCTCTGAGGAATTTAAATGCAAGGAACTGGTCTTCCCTTGAAGTCCACTTCTTTCACTGCGCAGCTGCTGAGCAGCTAGTTAGAGCCTGAGCTCCAGCTGGTCGTGTTAAACTTACGGATCTGCCTGACAGGTGGTCACCAGGACCAAGCCACTCCCACACTCTGCCTGCCTGTAGGCAGCTTAGGGTTGAGGGTACCCGTGGCCATCCCCGACGGTCCTGCCTGGAAATCTGGGAGCTATTCTGTTTCAGTGAAACTCCTCACTTCCTCCTCTGGTTCGTGACGTCTCAAGCTGTCTGTGCAGAATTAACTGAGCCCCACAGCCTGTCGGAGCGGGAGCGCACATAGCCACACAGCCCGAAGCTGCCTTTCTGAATCTGTCTGCAGACTGATGGGGCTACCGCTAAGTCACAGAGGGTCAGGGACTGCCCAGGGACATGGGCAGCGGTCAGGGCACCCAGGCCTGGATCAGGGGACACAGAGAGCAGAGAACAGACTTACTTGTGGCCCCTGGTCTTCAGCTTGACCTGACACAAGGATCCCCTTCCTCAGAGCCCTCCTGCCCCTCCTCCCGTCTCTAGGACACTCCCAGGCCCCGAATGGGGTCACTCACTGCATGGCTGGCTCTGGGGGGCTCTCTCAGCACCCATGGCCTTTCTGGTCAGCCCAGGATGGGAGTCATCGTCAGGTGCATGCAGAACCAGGGCAAGCGGCAGTAGCTTGGTCCTGCTGCCCTTGGGCCAGCCTCGTCGGGTCCTGGTGTGGGGGTCAGAGGGGTGGAGGCTCGGAAGGGCTAGCCCTGCCTGTTCAAAGCACCTGGCCACAGCACTGTCCAACATACACAGGGACCCCTCACCTCACAGCAATTGCATTAACTGGCAGGAATCCCTGGACAGCCATGGTTTTGTAGGTAAATACTTTGGGGCATTTCTTTACAATAACAATGAGCAAATCTTTTTAGTGAATATAGGAGACTTTTCAGCCACATGGCCTCTGGACACAACCACGCACAATATATAAATGGAGCATGTGGTTGTGTTCTAATAATATTTTAGTCACAAAAACAAGAGGTGTGGCAACATCTGCTCTAAAAGGAGCCTATCGGCATTATAAATAGATAAATACACAGACAGCAGGGTATGAGACAGTGGTAAGCCTAGTATCTGAGGCTAAGCAAGAGGAACACAAGTTCAACACCAGACTGGGCTACACAGACTATCACAAAAATCGAAGGAAATAAAACTACAGCATCACTGTCACATTTCACTTAATTAGTTTGTCTGAGGCAGTGCCTCACTGTACCCCACACTGTCCTCGAACTCACGTGATCCTCCTGCCTCAGCCTCCCAACTGCTGGGATTACAGGTGTGTCTACCATGCCCGGCTCACTATCACATTTTAAAGTGGCAGTTAACTCCTCAGAACCTATAAAATCAATGTTTACATTTCCCAGACTGTCTGTCTTTCAGATTATCTGAACCGAGATTCAAACGAGAGAAGCTGGCTATGGTGATGCATGGCTGTAATCCCAGCACTGAGGAGACTGAGGCAGGGGGATTGCTGCAAGTTCAAAGCCAGAGAGTTCAAAGTTAGCCTGGAATATATAGTGAGGCCTTGTGTCCACCAAAACAAAATAAAACACACAGAAGTCAGACAAGAGCCCTTACTACACTTGAGTGACAGCATCACATTGAGTTTTGTGGCTCTGGGGTTTCTGTCTGTTTTAAAACTAGGGGGTCTGGGCTGGGGATTTAACTCACTGGTGTAAGCGCCTGCCTGGCAAGTGCAAGGTCCTGAGTTCGATACCTGGTACCGCAAAAAAAGGAAAAAAAAAAAAAAAAAAAAAAAAAAAAAAGAGGGGATCTGCTGGGACCCTTAGCACCAGGTGAGGCCCAAGCAAGGCTGGTTCTGGCATGGAAAAACATTTAGCATTCTCAGAGGCTGAGCTGGTGGCGTATGGAAGTGAGACAGGCTGCATCTCAAGTGCCCAGGACCAGGTGGGGGTGCTGGGCCACAGCCCCAGGACTTCACTCCCCGATGGTGCTGCTGCCCTCAGGGTGGCAGAGCTGTTTATTTCAGTACTAGGGATGAACCTAAGAGCTTTGCATGGAGTTACATCTGTGGCCCTTTTTCTTGTTTTGAAAGCTTGTTTTTGTGGTACTGGGAATAAACTCCAGGCCTTGCACATGCCAGGCAAGCATTCTACCACTGAGCTAAACCCCAGGCCCCCGGCCCTGCATTTTGAGACAAGATCTCACTAAGTTGCTGCTACACTGTCCAGGCTGGGCTCGAACTTCATTCTCCTGTTTCAGCCTTCTGGAGTGGAGCTAGGATAACAGGTGTGTGTCATCATATCTGGCTTGAGGACAGAATTTTAAAGCAGCCTGACAACTTTGGGGTTCACTGAAAACTCGGGAATAGTGTGCTGCAGTTTTTAAAACCTGACTTACATTTCCAAGGTTTTTGTTTTGTCTGTTTAATACAGGGTCTCATTTTGTAGCTCAGGCTAACCTTGAAATTCACTGGGTAGCCTGGACTGGTCTCAAGCTCATAGCAAACCACCTGCTTCGGCCTCCTGAATGCTGGGATTACAGACATGTGCCACTATATCCAGCTTGTAAGCCATTCATTCTTAAAATTATATTCATGATTAATTTTACTAAAACACAGAGAATATTTAAAACTCATCACTGCCTATTTGACTGTGCTTTTTGCTAGTACCTAGGCCTCTTCTCGAGGTGAATGTAGTGTTCCAGTGCATGCCTCTTCCTCAGTTGTGCCCAGGAACCTCCCATAGCCAGCCAGAAATTGGGCTCCGGGAGCTCCAGGCTCCAGTAGCTGGGGTCAGACACTGTGAGCACTGCTGGGAACCATGCTCTAGCCTCCCACGTGGGATCAGGCTGTTCTTTTGCTTTGAAAATTGTGAGCAGTTTCAGAAACCGGATGCTTCTGCCCAGAATCTCAATACTGTGGGGAGTCAAGGCAGGAGACTCATGAGTTGGAGCCCAACCTGGGAAATTTAAAAGATTTAGCAAGAGCCTATCTCTAAAACAAAAACAAAAATGTGGCTGGAAATGTGGCTTAGTGCTACCCAAGTACCACAGAAATCTGACTTTTTTAGGCCAAACAGCCTGACAGGGTCCATCCTGGGGAGGGGCTGGGCTGCAAGTTGGGGTCACCTGCGTTACTTTGAGATTAAAAGTGACAACCATGTATCTCTTTGGCACTCTTTCCGTCCTAGACAAGGACGGAAATGCAGTAGGAGCTTAGCGAGGAATCACCTTTAAAAGCCTCCGATTCCAAATTTAGTCACCACATTTGTCTTCATACTAGTTAATGAAGAGGAACTTAGTGGAAGCCAAGTGTCTGGACTGGCAAGCGGCATCTGCCTGTTTTCTTCCTGGAAAAAGAAAGTGCAATTACAATAAAGCCGGCAGCCTGGTGCAATATGGGAGACTGCTTGCTGACTCCAAGATTTCTTTTTTCTTTTCTTTTCTTTTCTTTGAGGCAGGGTTTGACTATGAGGTTCAGGCTGACTTTGAGCTCACTTTGTGGCCCAGGCTGGTCTTGAATGTGCAACGACCCACCTCCCTCAGGCTCTGAGAGTGGGGATAACAGCAGTGCACCACTGAGCCTGGCAACTCAAAGATTTCTGCTGGACATTTTGCCCTTGGATCCAGAGCACCCTGAATAGTGAGCCTCTTATTGTAATCATGTGTTCTTTTTTTTCAATACTTTTTTTTGTCTTTTTCCTTTTTATTGGTACCGGGGATCAAACTCACGACTGCTTGCTTGCAAGGCAGGTGCTTATGCCGCTGAGCTAAATCCCCAGCCCAATCATGTGTTCTTCTAAATGGGGTACCCAAGATGCCCATGGGTGTGAGAAAAAAATATTACAATTTTAATTTATGAGACTGCCTTTGAACTCAGAGATCGGCTCAGCTCCTGAGTGCTGGGGTTACAGATGTGTGCCCAATACCTAGGCCTGTTTTTTTTTTTTAAAACTACAAGAGCTGGGGTAGAGTTCAGTGGTGGAGGGCATACTCAGCTTGCAGTTCTGCATTTAATACCCAACACCAAAGAAATTGGCCGAAATCAAAAACTATAAGCAATTAGGCCTTACTCATTTAATATGTAAATAGGTATATATATATACACACAATTAGATATGCACATTGATTCTTATCAGGAATAGCTCCTGGCAGTAATGGCTTTTGGGCTCAAAAAAAATTATTCCATTTCCTAATTCCAATGGCAGATCAGGGTCTGGTATGAAGCAGGTGGTCCAGAAGCAGATGTTGGAAGGACAGGAGCAGGTGCATATAAGCTGCCACTTATTTTCTAGGGGAGCTCAAGGCCTCCCTTTTGGCTGATGAGCCAGGTGAGGGTCAGGGCCCCTGGGCTGTAGACAAAGGTCAGTGTGTATGTGTGTGTGTTTTCACTTTATTTCCCTCCAAACCCAATGGCTTCAGCAGGAATAAAACATCCTTCAAGGCCCAAAATGGTCCAAAGGAATTCTGGAAACCCGAGTTACAGTCTCCCAGTGCATGGCCCGGCTTCTTGGGACCAGCTCAAGGACAAGGGGGCCAGAGGTCCACTCCAGAATGAACCCTCCCAAAGCCTGTGCCTTAGGCTTTACCTGATCCCCACTGCTGAAGCATAACCAGTGCCCTCTGGCTGGCCCAGCTGATGGGTGGTGGTGCCTGTGCCTTAGGGATGTGGTAGGCACCCTCTGCTCACGTCTGTTTAGAGCAGGGTTCTACAAGGACAGCCTGCCCACCACTTCTCTTCACTAGACACCAGGAGGACCTCCTTGCCCCTCTGACCCAAGGGCAGCTGCATCTCCGCGACGGAGCTGGCTGTGCCTGTTGCTGCCTTTCAGAGGGATGGCAGCCCACCCAGCATCTTTGGAAACCTGCTCTCCTCTCCAGCTGCCACTAACTTTATTCAATCAACAGGCTTTCTTTCACACACTGATTTTATTTAGGAAAGCAACATATAATCAGAAGTATTTCAGAGAATGCAGCAAAATAAAAACAAAACATCAAAGACCCCCAGGACAGAGCCCAGATTCAGCTTCTGAGACACCCCAGGACTTACCGGGGCTAAGTTAACTTTGGCATGGGGAAGTTCAGAACCAAGCTGACCTCTGGCAACTGAGGTCACTTCAGCAGGCATTTTTTGGGCTGGCGTTATGCTCAGTTTCATCACCGTTTGGTCACTGAATAAATGCAACAGGACTTGTGTGGGGTGTACACAGGGGAACAGTCTGCGCCTGCTGTGAGGAGCTTACACTCTAATGGTGAGCTGGAGAAGCACATGGTGAGCACAGCTCAACAGAGCAGGACTCACCACAGGGCACCAGAGATCTGGGCTGCCTCCTGCTGCAGGGCGAGCCCTGAGGACCAGCTGGATGTTCTCTGCCCTTCCTCTACCCCTGTGGCCCCTCGGCTGCCCAGCTCCTCCTCTGGAGTCTTCTGTCTCACTGTCTGTCCTGGTCACAGTATACTTGTCTTGGCAGTTAATTTTCAGGAGTGCACATCTTGTACCCCAAGGCTGACAGCTGAGGATAGATTCCTTAACCTCAGTTCTTTCCCACTGTTTCTACTGCTACGCGCTGGATGGAGTGGCTGGGGGAGACTGCTTAGGTGAAGCAATATTTCTCTGTCATTTGGTGACGAGGTGGGTGGTGGCAGTAGGTGAAATGGGGCCAGAGCTACAAGGGTGGAACAGAAACTGCCCAGAAGACACAGAAAATACTTGCTATTTGCTAACTGGAAAAGTCAAACCACAGAATAATTCTCAACAGCAAAATCATTTGAAAAGCAAGAAACAGGTGTCTCATTGCAAGCCTAAATCAGACACAGCACCCCGACCCAAGCCCAGAGCCCCCGACCCGAGGGGTGCCCTCAGTCAAACGTGATCCTGTAGCTGCGCTCCTGCTCCTTGCGGCGGCCCTCGCACACCCGGGTCACCTCCTCCACCCTCCTCTGCAGCAGGGCCGAGTTCTGGTCCACCCACTGCAGTGAGTCCATGTGTGCGTTGAGGATCTTGCAGATCTGCTGCAGCGGGTCACTGGTGTCGGCAGGGCCTCCAGATGTGTTCAGGTGCTCGATGATGTCCTTGAGATCTTGGGCCATGCGCTTCAGCTGTGCGTCGATGTTCTCAGCCAGCTTGTAGGTCTTCTCCCGCTCCTCATCAGCATGCTGCAAGTAGATGGTCCCACTCTGCTCCTTCACTGATTCCTCCAGGGGACTCAGCAGGTCTTCCAGCTCCTTCTGCTGTGACAGGATGAAGTCGAGCTCCTGGTCCAGCCGCTTTTGGTCCAGCTTCACCTTCTCCACCTCACGGTGCAGGCTGGTGATCTTCTCCCCATTCTCGATTAGCGTGCGGTCCCAGGCATTGACCTGGGTGGCCTGCTGGAGGAAGTGGCGCTCCTGGTCCTCCAGCTCCAAGCTCCACTTGTTGATCAGGCTCTCCAGCTGTGCATAGGTCATCACAGGGGAGGTGGCAGTCCCAGTGGCTGCACTGGAGCCAGACGGAGCAGCTGTACCTGCTGCATTGCTGGAAATCGCAGCTGGCACCAGTGGTTTTATATTCAAGGCAAAGCCAGTGGTGGTGGCGGTGGTGGTGGCCGTGCTAGTGGATGTTACTGTGGAGGTGCTAGAAGCTGCCCCTTTGAGGCTGAAGCCCAGGGTCCCAGCCCCAGCAGGTCCGGTGGTGGTTGCTGGGGCACAGAGAGAGAGCCCAGTGGTGGCCGAGGTGGGAGCAGCTGCTATTGAGGCGAAGAGTGTGGGCCCTGCACTGGTGGCGGCGGCTGTGGGTGTGGGAGCAGGTGGCTGGCTGACCCCTGCCGCGCTGGTTGCTGGCGTGGATGCAGTGAAGGCCAATCCAGTGAGTACTGTGGGCTGTGCCTGGGCCGCGCTGCCCAGGGAGCCAATGTTGAAGCCAGAGGTTCCGGCCTGGGATGTGCTTCCACTGGTGAATGAGAACCCTCCAGATGTGGTAGCTGGAGCCGTGGAGGTGGTAGAGGAGCCAAACACGAAGCCAGTGGATGCCATCCCCTGGCTGGAGGTGACAGCACTTGATATGGCATTGGTGAGGGTACTGCCACCGAGCCCAAAGCCGCCAGGGTTTGCCGTGGCTGGGGTGGCAGTCGTGTTGCTCAGGCTCAGCTTTGGAACACTGATCCCTAAGGAAAAGCCAGCTGCTGTGGAAGCAGGAGTTGTTCCGAAAGTGAACCCTGGGGTCTGTGTTGCTGGGGCTTGGGTGGTGAGCGAGAAGAGGCTGGTTGAAGGGGCACTCGAAGCAGGCTGGGAGGGAGTGCCAAAGGTAAACCCTCCAGTGCTGGGAGTGGAGAAGGAAAACCCCATGGAAGGTGTGGTGGTTGCTGTTTTTGCAGTGCCAAATGTGAATCCGCCTGTGGAAGCGCCAGTGCTTCCAAAATTAAATGCGCTCATGGTTCCAGACTCTGGTGGCAGCAGCTACTCCAGCTCCCAAAGCAAAATCGGCCAGCGTCTACAACCTTGGGGAAGATTTTTAAAGCACAGGAAGTGACATGATCAGATGGCAGTTTTGGAAAGGTAACCCCATTAGCACGATGGCACACGCTGGTCTGCAGGGTGGCAGGCTGGGTAATTAGAAGGGACAGCGACCTTGCCTCTTGCCCCTGCATAACCTACCCTAGGCTCTGCCGCGTCAGCAAAGGAGGATCCAGAAGCACAAATCCACTCCTGGGGGAGGAACCAAGAGCTGGGAGCTCCTGGGCCCAATCAGGACAGGGAACCCCGATGCTGAGAGAAGGCAGACAGAGGCTGAACCGGGCCCAGCCCTGTGGGGTCTCTCTCAGCCAGCAGGGTTGGAACTCGGCAGGGTCTCCTCCTGCAAGGCCTGTGTGGGTGTGAGAACCGCCCTGACCTTGTACAGCAAGAGACGGGCCCTGGAAACCAACATGGCTGTGCGTAGGGCCCTAGCTGCAAAGGATACATCCTGCACACCCTTACCACCTCAGGGGATCAAGGGCACGCTATGGCTTATGCCCTCCTAACTCAGGGGTGGGTGAGACCAGGGGCCAACTGGAGCACTGGCTGCCCCTGGTCATTGTGATTAGCTCAGGGAAAACAGACCTAGGTCAGCAACCAGAGCATCCCCACAAACCGTGGGTGTGGCCAGGGGGTACGCACTTGGGCCTTCTCCAGGGCATCTTCTCTGTCACAGCAGGATGCAATGAGTCACGACAGATGGTAACAGGTGGGAGAAGCCACAAGGGCCAAAGTGTTCCTGCTCAGTTTGAACCCACTGGAGTTCTGTAACGTTTGACTGCAGGAGCCCCCGCAGGGCCACCCAGGGGCCGCAAAGGTGGAGTCAACCCAGTGGGGAGCAGAGAGGGATCACTGAATAGGAGTACTCCATACAGGACAGGCCTTCAAGGAGGCAGACACCAGCTCTCCTGTCCCGCAGCAGAGCAGGGAATGGGTCCAGGGTCAACGACTAGCATGGGCGAATCCAGGAGTTAACCTAAGTTGTGGACCTGCTAGAGCTACTGATGTCCACTGGGCCAACTTGGGAACCTTGCTCAGTGGTGGAGACTGAAGGCAGGCATCTGCCTCACCCCATCATGCCAGCAGTGAGACTTATCAGGGCACAGCTCTGAGGAGCAAGGGCCAGAAGAGCACAGTAAGGGGATAGGTGCCATCTCCCCCCCCCCCAGCCTGTCGCAGTCACTAAATGCACTCTTCCTATAGCAAAGACACATAACTGATTAGTTTTAGGTTCTAAAAGAATCAAATTACAGAATGTGAATTCGTTTTGAGGAAGCAGTGGATTCACAAGTCAGTTGTAATCACATAGGAGCAGGACACACTGATTTAACTGAACAAGCGTTTCTAAACTGGGTCGGATCTCCGCGGTGGGGGGGGGGGGAACCATAAACTGGCTGAAGGTAGCAGAAGAAACATCACAGGCAAACCACACCAGCCTGAGCCTGGTGCGGTGGTGCACGCCTGTAATTCCAGCACTTGGGAGGTCAAGGCAGAAAGATCCCCGTGAGTTTGAGGTCAGCCTGGACTACGTACTAAATTCCAGGCCAACTTTAACTATATAGTGAGGCCCTACCTCAAATACCGAAATACTGCAACAGGAAGGTTATCCTGGATATTCAGTGGGCCCCAAGTACAACCAGATGGCGGTACAGAATGGAAGGAGCTGGGTACTGCAGCACACACTGTGGCCCCTAGCACTCAGGGGTTGACACAGAGGACTACAAGTCAAGCTCCTCCGCTTCAGGAACACATGCAGAGCCAGGACAGACAGATCAGAGACATCGTGTGCAGATGGAAGCACAGGCAAAGCCAGTGCTTCGGAGCTGGAGGAAGCCAAGGAATGCGGTGGTCTCCAGAAGTGGGAAGAGGCATGGCATTGGGTCCTCTAGAGCCCCTGCATCCTGGTTTGGCCCTGTAAAGCTCATTCTGGACATTCACCACAGGTATAAGGGAGGCAGTGAAGTGATCTGGGACAGCAGCCAGTGCCTAGCAGATCGGAGCACTGCCAAGCCCTGGGAGCTCGGGTCCTGCCTCAGGAGGGCAGGTGGGGGCAGGCCTGATTTGGGAGCCCATGTCACCATGCCAGCAAGCAGACACAGTATGGTGGCTGCCCAACTGTCAAGTTCCTGTGTAAGAGCTGGGTGTGGCTGACCTCAACTTTAGCGTAACTCATGGTCTGCTGCCACCACCCAGCAGGTGCCAAGGCAGCAGTTTTTGGGCGGCCAACTCTAAGCCCAGCAACCTGGCGTGGCCCCCACTGGGCTCTACCCACTCCCACCTGGGCCCTCAGCTGACTTTCAACATGCCTAGGAGGGGGCAAGTTGCGTATTTCCATCCGCACGCGCCAAGCCCTTTATTCTACTCCACATGGCCCACAAGGCACCACTACTGTGGTGAGCCCCAACTGCCACCTAGCACCTGTGCCTTACTTCCCCTTCTTTGGGAGCAGCTGTCAGGAATGAAGTCGGTCTCTAGATATTCAAGGAAAAGACCTACACTTGAATACTGCCTCTGCCCCTTAGGAGCTTTCCTGAGGTGCTCTGCACCTCAGTTTCCCCATCTGTAACAAGGACAACCCCTGTCCCCTGTGAAGTACAAGGTCACAGCTCAAAAGTCAAGTGCCCGGCCTGAGAAACGTCCTCTGGGTCCCTTTCCTCACCTGGCTGTCTCTTAGCTCTCAGCAGTCCTCAGGGAGTCCTCCTAGCTAAGTCAGAAGAGATGCCCTGTAGGTGCTGTCACCCTTCTACCTGTGGCCCTGGGCCCACGGGGCTGCCGGGGCACTACCAAAGCTCTCACAGAAACTTCTGTGAAAGGTCTTTCCACCCCAGAAACATGGGGCCTTGCTCTGAGTCCCCACCTCTTCACATGTCACTGTGAGCCACCTGGAGCACCCATATGTCTGCCATGCATCTCAGTTCCCAGAAACTCGGCCTGTGAGATCTTGTTATTAATAAGCTACAGCTGGGGGCTGGGGATTTAGCTCAGCGGCATAAGCGCCTGCCTTGTAAGCAGGCAGTCGTGAGTTCGATCCCCGGTACCAATAAAAAGGAAAAAGACAAAAAAAAAAAAAAAAAAAAAAAAAAAAAAAACTACAGCTAAAACTGCCCAGAAGACCATCTATAAAAAGCTCTTTGCAACTATTAAAAGAGCACAACCTTCCACACACGAGTGACTAGGTTAATCCCATCTGTTCCGATGGTGCAGATGTGCTGACCCAGGCCTCTCTGCGCTCCCGACGTCAGACTCTACACTCCTGCATATATACGGGGGCAGGCTCTCCTTGTAAATGATGACAACGAGGGCCACAGAAGTGTCTTCAGGACCAGGCTCCGCGAACAGCTGAGGACGGAGAAAGCAGGAAGGCTGCCAAGGCAGGAGGGGCCCAGGTGAAGGCCCAGAGGCTGACACAGGTGTCTTGAGTTGTGAAGGGATTTAGGGTGGCCAGAGGAACAGTGAGTATGCAGCAAAGGGCTCTCAGGACCCCAAAGATTCCACAGAAAGTTCCAGTTCTTACCCAGCTCCTCAGAGGGGAACTCTAAGTCCTCAGAATATCCAGTCAGCAAGTGTTGAGGTTTACCTGAGGTCTCAGGCCACACCAGACAGCCTTTGCTAACACTGGCCCACAGTGGGCACTCGGGACAGAAAATCTAAGTTCGCTCACTTGGTGCTCCAAGCCTACAGGACTGCCACCGCCCCCAGGCAGCTTTCTGGCCCACATCTGCATGGTGCCGTTTACGGTGGAGTGAAGCGCTATGCCAGCAATGGAAACTGCGCTCTGCCCACGTATTTTGCTCCTCTCCTGGCAGGGTGCAGCTCATAGCCAGCCCTGGGCCCTGTGCTATGAAGGGAGGCTGCGGGGGCGGCACTGGTGAGTCAAGGAGCTCCTGCTGGCTTCTGTTTTCTCCTGACTGGACCCAGGCATCGTGCCCCTTTTTACTCCCAATTTCACTCAATAGTGAGGCATAACCTTGAGTACACTCCAGCATCTCTGCTGAGCCTGGTGGGTGCCCATGAAACACTGAGCTGAGGGCTGAGGGGTGGCCAGGGAGGTACAGTGTCACAGGGTGTGGTGGGCGGAGCTGGCAGAGGCATGGATTCCATGCCAGTGGCTCTGACTTTACACTGAGGAAGCCGAGGACGGGCTAGCCTGGCGGGGGACAGGCTGAGCTGGGGGCCAGAGAAGGCAGGGCAGTCGTCCCAACCTGGAGACCTCAACTGGGATTCTAGGGAACACAGCTTAGAGAATTACCATTTGAGAAATGTGTAAGCTTGCACCAAAATCACAGTTAACAGAGCCAGTGACAGACTCCTGGAGTTTCTCCTGAACACAGATTACCATGCGCTCTGGTGTGTGCATTTCCAGTTTCACCAAGGGGAAAGTTTTCTTAGGAGAGAAGCCTGGGCACTGCAGCAGGTGGGGAGGCCCCAACTGTTTCCCAGGAAAGGTGCAAGGTGTGCCTGCACTGGGCCAGTGGGCAGCTACCGGCTTCTCCCCACACACCTGCCTTTGTTTCAGAACCCCCTACTTCACAGCAGAGCCCGTGTCTACACCCATGCCCCACTCCCAGCCTTGGGAACCATGGCTCTCTGCCGTCTCTGCAGATCTTCTAACCACACCTTCACATCTTCAGTTTTTGCCATCCCAAGTCCTAACTTTACCTAAATATAATAACAATTATTACTTTGACACAGGGTCTGGCAATGTAGTTCAAGTTGACCCTGAACTCAGCACTGCTCCTGCCTCAGCCTCCTAAGGGTTGGGATTACAGGCACATGCCACCACAACTGGCCCTAATTAATTTTTAATGAAAACTTTCCCCCCATACTGAGACTGAATCCAGGGGCTCCATACTGTGTTCCAACCCCAGCCCTGATTTTTTTTTTTGTCTTTCTCGTTTTTATCAGTACCAGGGATCGAACTCATGATTGCACACTTTCAAGGCAGGCGCTTATGCCACTGAGCTAAATCCCCAGTCCCCCCAGC